AGGCTGGGCCCCTTCCACTGAGAAGATGATGTAATGGCAGTTAAAGATGCAGGGAGGGTCTCTAAACAGCTGCAGGAGAGTACCTGGAAGGTAGGCTGGGCCTCTCCCACTCATAGGATGGTGGAATGGCAGTTAAAGATGAATTCAGAAACTGGACTTTATGGCAGTGTGGATCCAGCCTCGGGCCCCTTCTACACTGCCATATAATCCAGATTATCAAAGTGGATGATCCACATTATCTGATTTGAACTGGATCATATTAGTCTATGGAGCGTCTGGTGGCACAGTGGGTTTAACTGCTGAGCTTGCTTACCAAAAGGTCACAGGTTCAAATCCGGGGAGCAGCGTGAGCTCCCGCTGTTAGCCCCAGCTTCTGACAACCTAGCATTTCAAAAACATGCAAATGTGAGTAGATCAATAGATACCGCTCTGGCGGGAAGGTATTGGCACGCTATGCGGTCATGCCAGCCACATGACTTTGGAGGTGTCTACGGACGAACGCTGGCTCTTTGGCTTAGAAATGGAGATGAGCACCACCACCCCAGAGTCGAACATGACTGGACTTAACGTCAGGGGAAAACTTTTACATTACCTATATTAGTCTACACTGCCATATAATCCAACTCAAAGCAGATAATAGATTGTACATTACAGTGTAGAAGGGGCCTCAGTTGTCTCCATGATAATATATGTATAAAACCTGTTGCTTGTGTGTGTATATAATATAATATAATATAATTTGTATTTCCTTGTCTTCCAGCTCATTCCTGTTGGCTCTCCTACCTGACGGAGGAAGATACCTGCAAAGATAAGAGCGCTTGCTTGCCATGGCCTCACCTGTGTCGGTGGTGGATTTGAAAGAAGATGCCCTCTGTCCCCTTTGCAAGCAGTACCTGACAGACCCGGTCCTGATGGACTGCGGCCACAACTTCTGTCGGACCTGCATCTCCGACTATTATGTCTCCCAGAAAGAAAAAGGAGGGCCTTTGCAGTGTCCGGTATGCAACTCGCCCATCCAAGAAGGGAATCTCCGGCCGAACCAGCAACTGGGTAGCATAGTTGAGAAACTCAAGAAACTCCCAGCCCTCAAAGTAGGAAAGGACTACCTGTGTGCAAAACACAAGGAGAAATTGAACCTCTTTTGCGAGGATGATGAAGAACTGGTCTGCTTGATTTGTGAACGCTCCCCGGAGCATGCCTCGCACACCGTGCAACTTGCAGAAGACGCTGTCGAAAAGTACAAGGTAGAAAAGTGTATAACTTCAAAAAAGTTGATACTATACCTATATACATTTATATAAGACTTTAAAATGTGTACATCGTATGTAAATGACAGATATTTATAAGAAATATTTACATGTAATAAATATTTACACTAATCTACTAACAAAAGAAATTAATTTTAAGATACAAACATAGATGGATGTCATCAAGAGTGGCAAAAAATATGGCTACATCCTTTGGAAGCAGTGTTAAAACCAACATACAATGAGGAACTGAGAACCTATAGGGAATATCTAATTGAAGAAAAAGGACAATGGAAACTAAAGGGGAGTTAGGGATACATGACTGTTTTTGTTATCATCAATTACAGGATATATTTAGGAAAGATAATAAAATTGGGTTTCCTAAAAACAAATCAGAGTTGGAAAATATTTTGGGGAAAGAAAATAAAGGATTGATCTCCAGGTTATACAAGTATAAGGTAAAGGTAAAGGTTTCCCCCTAACATTAAGTCCAGTCGTGTCCGAATCTGGGGTGTGGTGCTCATCTCCATTTCTAAGCCAAAGAGCAGGCGTTGTCCATAGACACCTCCAAGGTCATGTAGCCAGCATGACTGCAAGGAGCGCCGCTACCTTCCCACTGGAGCAGTGCCTATTGATCTACTCACATTTGCATGTTGTCGAACTGCTAGGTTGGCAGAAGCTGGGGCTGACAGCGGAAGCTCACGCTGCTCCCCGGATTTGAACCTACGACCTTTCGGTCAACAAGCTCATCAGCTCAGCGCTTTAACCCTCTGTGCCATAATAATATATTATTAGCATAGTATAATATGTTATGTTTATTCATATCATGATCTGATCACCATACTCTATATCCCATATGCATGGGGGTATTGGGGTAATGATACAAAAGGTTTGCTAGGGTAGACCCTCTTTCACGCAGACTCAGCCCCCCCCAAACTCAGCCCCCCCGAAATCCCCCCTGAAAAAAATTCAACCCCCCCCCCCCCCCCGAAACGAAATCCTGGCTACGGGCCTGAGCTCAGTGCTTTAACCCACTGTGCCACTAGGATATACAAGTATATACTAGAATATAATTTGGAAGACAATAAAATAAAAACGGTAATGATTTCCTGGCCCAGAGACTTTGGGGAAAATATAGATTTGGATAATTGGGAATACTTATGGAAAAAAGGATTTAAATTTTCAATAGTGGGTTCTGCAAGAGAAAATATATATAAAATGTTCAAAAAAAGTTATATAACCCCTGAAGTACTGGCTAAAATTGATAATTCCCAAAAGGGGGAATGTTGGAGATGCAAACGCAGAAAGGTACTTTCTTCCATGTTTGGTAGACCTGTATGGTGGCAGAAAAATCATTTATTTATTTATTTATTTATTTATTTAAAGTATTTAAATTCAGCTCTTCTCACACTACAGGGAACTTAGGCTGGATTACGATGTATGTAGTATACATATAGACAGACACATAGAGGCCATTTAACATCCCAGCTTCATGAGAGTATTCTGGCTACCAGGGGAGCTGTCGCTTCACCATCCATTTGACACTGATGGAGTACTTCCTCATTCTCTGCATGCTTGCTGGAGATTTTTATGGTGTCGTAAATTAAATTAGCCTCCCCACATAAGCGGTACCTAAATTTCCTACTTGTCTTTCGGTCTGCAAAGGTTGACAGCGAGCTACACAATGATCAGAAGCTCACTCTGACCTGGGCTGGCTTTGAACACATGACCTTTTGGTCAGTAGTGATCTAATGCTGCTGACTCCCAGCCAGCTGCACCACAATCCTGGTGCAAAATAATTTTTGGAAAAAGGTGACTAAGGAAACCAACAAAAGGATTACTAAGAAAATTAACAAAAACCCAAAAATGTGCTTATTGGGTTTGTTTCAGGACAGAATTATTATAGCAAAATCGTGGAAGGGAGAAAAAAACCTATGTATTAAGGATTGGAGAATGAAAGTAGTAGAGTATATCCAAATGGCCAAGCTCTCCAATGGCATAGGTAAAGGTAAAGGTTTCCCCTGACATTAAGTCTAGTCATGTCTGGCTCTGGGAGAGGCTGCTCATCTCCATTTTAAGTGAAGAGCCAGTGTTGTCCGCAGACACCTCCAAGGTCATGTAGAAAGCATGACTGCATGGAATGCGGTTACCATCCCGCAGGAGTGGAACCTATTGATCTACTCACATTTGCATGTTTTTGAACTCTTTGCTTTAGAAATGGAGATGAGCACAAACCCCCAGAGTCTGACACAATTAGACTTACTGTCAGGGGAAAAAATTACCTTTTTAAGGTTTATTTTTTGAATTTTTGGAGTAGTTGAAGTCCAAAAAAGTAACACTTCTAGGCTCTAAAAAGAGCTCTGAAAGCAGATTTTGTTATTTGTAGAGAATGTGAGAACATACTGTGGTAATTTGCTTTTATTTCTGTTCTTAATAATACAGTTATTATTATTATTATTATTATTATTATTATTATTATTATTATTACTACTACTACTGTGATTTCCCCAAAACTAGGAGTCAGGGTGACTCCCCAACAATTTTTTCCTTGGTATCTTGGTTTTTAGACCTGCTCTTGAGGTTATTTGGGACACTAATTCAGAAAACTACATTAGCTGTAGTTTCTAAGATAAGTGTATCATGCTTTTTTATTGGTAAGTTGGTAGATGGCATAACTTCTGCATCTCAAAAACTAGAGCTGATGGGAAAACTGATGACATTTTTGAGATCAGCAGATCATATATACACAGACACATTTGAGGCACCAAAATGGGATTGGCCAGTGTTATTTATTCATGTATGCATTATGAGTATTTGCTCATTGCTTTCAAATTGCTGGATGAAATTTACATAAGTTGGGAACTGTCGTGTAGGTTTTAAAGACAGCAGGGGCATGCTATTTAAACAGTTACAGATTACTCTTGTGAAAAGGAAACATGCTTGAATTGTGATGTTTTTGGTCCCACCCCAATCTTCAGATCCAGATGCGTGTCCGCTTAGTGAAGCTCAAGCAGCTGAAAGAAGAATTGGGGACAACTCCGAGAGATGCGGAAAAAGAAACTTTTGACATGCTTGTAAGTCTTCCTTTTCCACAGATGAGCAAACATAAGTCAGTCTGTACCTGGGGGAAAATAAGTAGAAAACAGTTTCAGGTTATTTCCTCCTTTCCCACAACAGCAGGTTAGGTTTACTAGACTGAAGATGGATCTACACTGCCATATAACGCAGTTTCAAAATGAAGATTAACTGCATTGAACTGCATTACGTAGTGACTGTTTGTTGTTGTTCATTCGTTCAGTCGTCTCTGACTCTTCATGACCTCATGGACCAGCCCACGCCAGAGCTCCCTGTCGGCTGTCACCACCCCCAGCTCCTTCAAGGTCAGTCCAGTCACTTCAAGGATGCCATCCATCCATCTTGCCCTTGGTCAGCCCCTCTTCCATTTCCTTCCATTTTCCCCAGCATCATTGTCTTCTCTAAGCTTTCCTGTCTTCTCATTATATGGCCAAAGTACTTCATCTTTGCCTTTATATCCTTCCCTCCAATGAGCAGTCGGGCTTTATTTCCTGAAGTATGGACTGGTTGGATCTTCTGGTGGTCCAAGGCACTCTCAGAATTTTCCTCCAACACCAGTCAAAAGTATCGATCTTCCTTCGCTCAGCCTTCCCTAAGGTCCAGCTCTCACATCCGTAGGTGACTACGGGGAATACCATTGCTTTGACTATGCGGATCTTTGTTGCCAGTGTGATGTCTCTACTCTTCACTATTTTATCGAGATTGGACATTGCTCTCCTCCCAAGAAGTAAGCGTCTCCTGATTTCCTGGCTGCAGTCTGAGTCTGCAGTAATCTTTGCACCTAGAAATACAAAGTCTGTCACTGCCTCCATGTTTTCTCCCTCTATTTCCCAGTTGTCAATCATTCTTGTTGCCATAATCTTGGTTTTTTTATGTTTAACTGCAACCCAGCTTTTGCGCTTTCTTCTTTCACCTTGATTAGAACATATATGCAAGTACCATGCAATTAACCTGCATTCTGAAACTGCATGATATGGCAGTGTAGATCCAGCCTCAGTAAGCTTCCTCATCCAGTGGTGATTTCAACCATATTTCCCAAATCTCATATTCTAACCCAGGCATGGGCAAATTTTGGCCCTCTGGGTGTTTTGGACTTCAATTCCCACAATTCCTAACAGCCTACCAGCTGTTAGAAATTGTGGGAGTTGAAGTCCAAAACACCTGGAGGGACAAAGCTTGCCCATGCCCATTCTAACCTCAACACCAAGCTGGCTTTGTTGATTGCAATTGTCAAACAAAGCACAATACCTCTTAATTGTACTCCTGATGCTGTCTACATTATGAATACATTCTTACAGTTATCTATATAAATAAAAATGTAATGTTCATTTGTGGTATTAACATAACTCAAAAACCACTGGACAAATTGACACCAAATTTGGACACAATACATGTTATCAGGCCAACAAGTGACCATCACTCATAAAAACACTGAAAAACACAGCAGAAGAGACATGTTAATCTTCCCCGCAACCCGCACTACCCATCGGGGAGGCACCATGGACTGCACATGCCTACAATACACCTATCAGGGCAATAAGTGACCATAACTCATAAAAACACTGAAAAACACAGCAGAAGAGACTTAAAAAGCCAAATACAAAAAATACATTACAACGCATGCACAAACCACATATATACACACAAACACACACACACATATATACACATATACACAAATATATACACACACAAAACACATGTACACTGTCTAGGCCACAGCAACGCGTAGCAGGGAATGTCTAATTATAAATAATTATGAACCAAAGGTTGGAAAACACACTTTTGGAGGATTATAAATATTTTTTTATTCCTCAGTGAATGTTATCAGTGTCACTACAATGATCAGATGAACCTATTACTGTACAGATTCAAGAGCTTTAAAAATACAGAATGCATACTGATTGAAATGGAGTATTTCCAAATGTGATAAGGTCCTGCATCAGATAGGGACAGGACAAATAGCCTGGGGATCAGGTTGCCTTGCAACTTCCTTAAGTCCCCTCTCTACTGATCTTTCCATTGATACTACGAGGCGCTGTTTCTTAATGTTGCTCTCCAACATTTTCATTCTAATATTGGTTTTCTTTCATCTTTATTGCAGAAGATGGTAGAAAAAGAAAAGGAAAAGACCACAGTGGAATTTAAAAAATTGCATGGATTTCTAGATGAGCAGCAGAACCTTCTTCTGACGCAGATGCAAGAGCTGCAAAAGGAGGTCGCCAGGAAGAGGAAGCACTACGTGTCCAGCCTCTCCGAGGAAATGATCTCCTTGACAAAATTAATTGAGGAAATACAGCAGACCTGTGAGCAGCCAGCTACTGAATTCCTCATGGTAAGATGGTGGTGGAAGAAAAAACAACAAAAATAACAATAATAACAATAACAACAACAACAACAACAACAACAACAACCCGGCCTCCTGACTCCAAAGGGCAAATTGCACTTACATTGGGAGTAAATTATGCTGGTAGCCAGGTCTGTTGTGTACTAAAAAAGCAACCATATACATGTTTCCTTAGATATAACCTCCACCGATTTAAGGCTTTGCTACACTGGCCACTTAATTCACAGTTAGTCTAGAGCAGGGCTTCTTAAAACATGGGTCCCAACGTCAAATGGGTTCCCCTTCACTTAGTGTTGGGGTCACGAAAAAAATGGCAACTGTTAAAAGTTTCTGTATGCCACTCATTTACAGTGATTACAGTGAGCTCTGCAGGAAATGCTTCAGCTGTACTTCATAAAACGGAAAAACAATGTTTGGCAAGCCTTTGAAATGCTGATATTTGATTTTTATGCCTATTTTACATACCTAGGGTCACATAAAAATTATTGAGGAGAAAAGGGCCATCCTCTGGTCTAGAGTACAGTACTCTGGATTGGCATCAGCATACTTGGTGCCTGACCCACAACGGTGGTGGTGTGCAGTCTATATGGTCTAGTCAAGCTGAAACCAGTTGAGACATGCTGACTCATCACCTTCTGTATTCTGTTGCTGTTGCATCTGCTCCTGCCATCACCAGATGCAAAGGGAGAGAGGGCTGTGGAAAGTTCATAATGTAGCTTGTGTCAGGAGACAAATTCTTTGTCTCTCTTTTCCCATCACAGGATTTCAAGCTGAATTTCCAGAGGTAAGTAGACTCCATGGTAGTACACAACTTCTCTTTCTTATGACTAGGAAAATGCAAAGAGATGGGCACTTGCCTGTCCCTGAAATGAATAATATCCCATTCCTAAACCATCACCACATTGTACTGTTGAAGGCTTTCATGGCTGGAATCACTGGGTTGTTGTAGGTTTTTCTCACGACCTCACTACCTCTGAGGATGCTTGCCATAGATGCAGGCAAAACATCAGGAGAAAGTGCCTCTAGAACATGGCCATATAGCCCGAAGAAACCTACAACAACCCATCACCAGATTGTTTTGCTTCCCCCCTTTCCCTCCCTCCCTATATTTTTTTCTTTTCTTTTCCAAAATTCTGCCTTGGTGGGTTAACATTTTCTTTCTTCAGGTGTGATGCAGCATGTCAGGATTCAGCCAGTTTTCCTCTTGAGTTAAAGTGGAAACTCTGGGAGTTCTGTGACACAAATCTTTCGCTGGATAGCATGTCACGCCGATACAGAGGTAATGAAGAATCATCAATTGAAAGATTTGATACTGTACATTTATGTTATTTTTTATTTCTTTTCATTTGATCCTGCTTTTCTCCTAATATAGTGACTCAAGATGTTTGATTACAGGTTGAGTATTGGATAAGGGATGCTCAACCTTTTGGATTTTTTGAGCTTTTGGAATTCCTGCATTTGCATATATGTACATAAATAATAAGACATCTTGGAGATGGGACCTACATCTAAACCTGAAATTCATTTATATTTTATAACTTAACCCACATAGCCTGAGTGGCTCCTAAAAACCTAAAAATCCCTAAAATTTGTAGTATTTCATGTTACCGAAACATAAGGAAGGATAGAGATACTCTCATGAAGGGAGCTATTTTTGGCCTTATGAAGGGTCTGTGTGATGTGCAATCTTGCTTCTGTTTTCTTTCCTAGACGCTTTCGCCTGTGGATTTCAGCCGCAAAAAGGTACTTATTAGAAGCTGGTGCCTTCTTGATAAAACTGTAGAAATTTATGGGTTTGTTAAAAATTGCTGATATATCACATCAGATTTGCTTTGATCTATTTGGGACTTTGAAACTATTCATATGTTAACTTGTGAGAAGGTCAGTGAAATACTGCATTAATCTAAACCAGTGTATTGTCGAAGGCTGTCATGGCTGGAATCACTAGGTTCTTGTGGGTTTTTAGAATAGAATTTCTAGTCAGCAATTGAAACTGAGACCTCACTACCTCTGAGGATGCTTGCTATAGATGCAGGCGAAACGTCAGGAGAAATGCCTCTAGAACATGGCCCTATAGCCCGAAAAAACCCACAAGAACCTAATCTAAACCAGGCTTGTCCAGCCTATGGCCCATCAGCTGCATGAAGCCCAACACAAAATCGTAAACTTATTTAAAACATTATTTATTTTCCCTTTGTTAACTCGATTACATGGTTCTTAAGCCCAAACTTTGTAAATGACAATGGAATTGAATAATGAGAGTAAGAATGCAGGGTGCAATTTCCCTGGGTCAGTCCCCCACAACCATAGAATCATAGAATCCTAGAGTTGGAAGAGACCTCGTGGGCCATCCAGTCCAATCCCTGCCAAGAAGCAAGAAAATAACATTCAAACCCACCCCCACCCCCAACAGATGGCCATCTAGCCTCTCTTTAAAAGCCTCCAAAAAGGAGCCTCCACCACACTCCTGGGCAGAGAGTTCCACTGCTGAACAGCTCTCGCAGTTAGGAAGTTCTTCCTTATGTTCAGGTGGAATCTCCTTTCCTGTAGTTTGAAGCCATTGTTCCACATCCTACTCTCCAGGGCAGCAGAAAACAAGTTCGCTCCCTCCTCCCTATGACTTCCCCTCACATCTTGATACATGGCCCTCATCATGTCTCCTCTCAGCCTTCTCTTCTGCAGGCTAAAGCTCTTTTAGCTGCTCCTCATAGGGCTTGTTCTCCAGACCCTTATCATTTGAGTCACCCTCCTCTGGACACATTCCAGCTTGTCAATATCTCTCTTCAATTGTGGTGCCCAGAATTGGACACAATATTCTAATATCCATTCCATTTTTGGAAATGTTTATATGGGGAAAAAGTGATTCTTATAATCAAATAAATATGGTAATTTGAGCTATGTGCATAAGTGATGTCAGTCTCACAACTAATGCTATTGTATTTTTTAAAAGACTTTTTTTCCGTATCCTTCCCATTTCAACAGAAAAAATAACTCTGGACCCAAGCACAGCCCACCCCCAGCTCATCCTGTCAGAAGAGAACACAAGTGTGAGAATGGGTGAATTTTATAAGAAATTTCCCAAAAGTCCTGAGAGATTTGACGAATGGCCTTTCGTTCTGGGATACGAGGGATTTGCAGAAGGCCGACACTTTTGGGAAGTCACTGTGGTGAACGAAGACACATGGGGAGTAGGAGTTGCCAAAAGCTCAGTGCAGAGAAAAGGCGATATCAACTTTAGTCCCGAAGGGGGTTTCTGGGCCGTGGGGAAGTGGGAGGGGAACTATACAGCTTACAACCCCCCCTTCTATACCCTTATGACTTTGCACAGAGAGCCCAAAAGGATACGGGTATTCCTCAACTGTGATGGCGGTTGGGTGAGCTTCTTTGATGCAGATACCGCATCCCCCCTGTTTTCGTATTCTGCAGCTTCATTCTTTGGGGAGACACTTCTCCCTTTCTTTTATGTGTTTGGGAAAGCCCAGCTCAACTTAGCCACCATCCAGAGTTAACACAACTTTATAACCCCTGCTTATGTTACGTACCTGATTAACTAATAAGAACAAGAAACAGAAACATTGCAATTGTACAAAAATCTCAAAAGGTTGCAAGTTTCAAAAATCCAGCAATTGCAATTGCTGTTACAGTTCATCTCCTGAAAGTGGTAACACCTTATTAGTCATATATAATATCTGTTGCCAGAAAAGGAAGAATTCAGAAGCAGGTCCCAAAGGTTTTTTTTTTCATTCATGAATATGCAGTCTTAAGTTTTCCCTTCGATTTTGGAGCTACTTGAGGAAGGTGTGGTCCACCTACCCATTCTGTGGCAATCCCTGGTGTTTCCAGATATTTTTGACAGGAATGCTGGGAGTTTCTTTACACTTCTGTGGTGGATATGGCTTGGGATATCTTGTCCATGCTGGTCTAAAACACCAAATCCGCAAATTTGCCAACTGGAAGACCCTACTGCTTTTCTATGCTAACCAGTCTGGATCAGAAATGCTATGGAGATGCTTACATTTTCCATCCCCAACTGGCTCCAGTAGTGGGATGGAAACTACGAGCTCCAGTCGGGCCAAAGGCTTTCACTGTACTTTTCCTGTCATTGCTACTGGATGTCCAGTGCTCTTAGAGAGCTCTTGGTGATCGTAGGTGAACCTCTTCTTTCTCTCTGTTTATGTGGCTTCTTCTTCTGATGTCTGTAAAGGGAACAGCCATCTGCACCAATGACGGGGGTCACGTGGGCTTCATCGGTTCCCCTTTCCTTGCGCTGAAGAGAGCAGAGAAAAGGGGATCAATCCATGTGGACAGCAGACTGGAGTCAGTCTATTGTCCACACTCTGCCCAAAACTCTAGAGCAGTGGTTCTCAACCTGTGGGTCCCCAGGTATGTTGGCCTACAACTCCCAGAAATCCCAGCCAGTTTACCAGCTGTTAGGATTTCTGGGAGTTGAAGGCCAAAACATCTGGGAACCCACAGGTTGAGAACCACTGCTCTAGAGTCTTTCTTGCCTTTCCTAGCACAGGGCTAAACTGGATCAATTTGGTTTACCCCACCTCATATCCTCGAAATCCCTGAACATCACGAAGATAACTAGGAGCAACTTCTGGGCCACTTTGCACTTTTTGATCTGTGTAGACAGGCCCTCAATCTTTCCCCGCAGATACGGCCCAGTTTATCTTGTTTCATTTTGGTAACCGAACTGGACTTGGTCTTACCATAATCTTCCTTCCGCTAGTTAGTGAAGGGAGCATACTCTTCTAATTTTACTCCTCATTTTGGACCAAACTCAGGACCAAACTTCTCTTCCCCACATTTCATCTCTGTAAACCAATCCCTAGAAACTTAGCATCAAGAAGCCTCCTAGTTCCCCAGGCTTCTCCAAAAGTTACAGCAGAACCAGGCAGTTCTCTTTCCTCATACTTCTGAAGTCATCCTCATTTCACATTCTTCTAGGCCAGTGGTTCTCAACCTGTGGGTCCTCAGGTGTTTTGGCCTACAACTCCCAGAAATCCCAGCCAGTTTACCAGCTGTTTGCATTTCTGGGAATTGAAGGCCGAAACATCTGGGGATCCACAGGTTGAGAACCACTGCTCTAGGCTAGAAAAAAAAGGCAGGGTCTCTCCCCAGAAAAGATGTACTAGGTAGGGAAGAAAAATGCACTTGATAGTCTTAAGCCATCACAGTACATTTATAGATCTTTTATGTGATAAATTTTGGCTACTGCTTGGAAATGGTATTCCAAGTACTTTCTCTGATCAGTTGCAATTAGCTTGATCACCAGAGCCAGTCAGATTTCCCACCTTCCCCTTTTTCTTTTTATCTGTAAACCCACCACATCTGTTAATATGCAAAACATTTTTTTTAATCCTGCAAAGCAATGATTTCTAAACTTTGAGACCTCCATGTGTTTTAGACTTCAGCACTGGTGGGTAGTTAGGAACTCTGGAATCTGAAATCCAAAATAGTTAGTGCAGTAGTTCCCAACCTGTGGGTCCACAGGTGTTTTGGCCTACAACTCCCAGAAATCCCAGCCAGTTCACCAACTGTTAGGATTTCTGGGAGTTGAAGGCCAAAACATCTGGGGACCCACAGGTTGAGAACCACAGAGCTAGAGGGCCAAAGCCTGGAAATTACTGATTGTAAAACAAGTAGCAAACCCAAAAGCAAACAACACACAAAGTCGTTGTTTCTGTTCAGGGAGCCCAGTGCAGCTCCAGTTAAAGGCAAGTTACTTGTATTTAACAAGCAGAAAATGAGGATTGTCCAGGGTGAATTATAGCAGAAGATAATCCCAAAGGAAGGGTGTTGAACCTAACTAGTTCAAAAAATATCTATTAAGGATGAGAGATTGTCCCCATGTTTCTACTGGAAGAAGATTTGTAAAGGTTATATCTACAGGTTCAACTGCTCTTTGTTAAAGCTGTCTCTTTGTACCACACCTTGAGCCTTGGCAAAGCAACTAAGAAATCCCTTGGATAAATAAAACGAAGGCTGTCTGTTGAGTTTTCTCTTATTATGTGTGTCCCAGTTGAAATTCTGTGTCTGCCCAGAGGTTAGTCTGCAACCCCCAGCATTCCTCACCACTGGCTAGGTGGGCTGAAAGCTGCTGTCCAAGAAATGTTGAGACCATATGAATGTTTTTCCCGTTGTTTATTTAAAAATTCTGGGTATTCTAAAATGTGTTCAGTTATATTGCTGAATAAAGCCTTCTGTTTCATATTGTATATCTCACTTCACCGTCCTTCTATCCTATTTACAGGTTGATAAAGTAGATGTGTTTATGGGATTTATTTTCTTAACAGAATTTTCATATGAAAGGTATAAAAATGGTAAGAAAGAGGAATAAGTTCCTAATGTACTCTTCCTATTGTCAAAAGAAATGTAGAAGATGTGGCTGCAAACACTTTATTGCAAACTAACAATATACAATGTTCTGTCGAAAGCTTTCATGGCCAGAATCACTGGGTTGCTTAGAGTTTTCCGGGCTGTATGGCCATGTTTCAGAAACATATTATCCTGATGGTTATTGTAGTAATTGTTTATTAATTTGTAATGTGTTAGATTGTTAACTGTTTTTATACTGTAGCATTGAATCTTTGCTGTTCTTGTGTGTTGTGAACCACTGTGAGTCGCCTTCTGGCTGAGAACAACGGTATATAAGTAAAGTAAATAAATAAAATAAATAAATGATGTTTCACCCACATCTGTGGCAGGCATCCTTAGAGGTTGTGAAGTCTTTTGGAAACTAGGCAAGTGAGGTTTATATATCTATGGAATAGTGAGGCAAGTATGAATGTTGCAATTGGTCACCTTGATTAGCATTGAATGGCCTTGCAGCTTCAATGCCTGCCTGCTTCCTGCCTGGGAGAATCCTGGCAACCTCTGAGTATGCCTGTCATAGATGTGACCAAAATGTCAGGAGAGTGCTTCTGGACCATGGCCTTACAGTCTAGAAAACTCACAGCAACCTAACAACATACACATGTGAAATAACCGAATTATGGAATTGGAAAAGACTATTTAGGACATCCAGTCCAACACCATTCTTACACAATCAAATCACCACTGAGATTCAGCCTGTTTAAAAACCTCCAGAGAAGAGGACTCCCCCACACTCCAAGGCAGTGAGTTCCACTGTTAAACAGCCAGTACCTTCAGGAGGTTTTTTCCTAATGTTTAGGTAGATTTTCTTTTTCTGTGGTTTGACTCCATTGCTTTGTGTCCTGGTCTCCAACACAACAGAAAACAAGTATGACACCTTCTCAATGTGGCATCTTTTCAACTATTTAAACGTGCTTAACCTTCCCTTCTCCAGGCAAAAGAGCAAACAAATGAAATGACTTGGTCACATAACCCTTTCATGATTAAACAAAGCCATTTTGACCATATGTAAGCATGCGTGATTTTTCCTTTTGGCAGCCTGCATTTCTCTCATTTCCTATTTAGTGACCAAACTTATAAATACACTAGGTCCCTGTATTATATTAGGGATCTCATTTAACCTCTAAGGTCCTACTTTTCAGACCTGAAAGAAATGTCTTGGCCTTTCATCTGAAACATACTATTTCAAAAATGCTCTGGAAGACCTAAAAATGCCTTGAGAAGTCTTCTCTCCAGGCCTCCAACACGATCGTGTGGTCAACTTCCAGCTTCATGTTCACCCTTTTGCCAGCAAGTAGGGATTCAGTTCAAAAGTTTTCCTCATTGTGGCAGCATTGACACGGTAGATTTATTGCACTTTGACACCACTTCAACTGCCATGGCCCAATGCTACGGAATTCTGGAAGTTGCAGTTTGCTTGCGCACCAGGACTTCTGGGCAGAAAAGGTTAAAGATATTGTAAAACTACAACTTAACATGGTAGAATTGATTCAGTTTGACGCCACTTTCGCAATCTGGCTCAATGTAGTTATACAAGGTCCCAGTGTCTTTTCATGTTTAAGCAGGGACTTGAACCCAGGTCTCCAGAATCGTAGTCCAATGCTCAAACAATCCTATCTCACCAAGGCTGTCATGGGAAAAAAGGAGACTGCCCTACTCCTGTCTGATCCAGCTATGGTTTTAAGGAAGGGGGGGAACCCCAGTCACTACTTTGAATCATCACAAGATGGCAATATTGTTCTTCTGAAAATGCATTTCCTTCAGGTGTATTCTATTTGGCAGGTTTTGTAAACAAAGTGTTTATTTATGGAAGTTAATGCTTCATACTCAAAATTTGAAGTCCCTTGTTTATTAAAAACATACTGATCAAAGTATTTTACATTAAGGATTTATTTCTTCACTCAGTGTTTGTGGAGAATATATTATTTCAAGCTGTAGATGATACAATCAATAGATGCTGAATCCATGGCTATGGAGGGCTATCTGTGAAAGGCAAAACAATAAAAGATCAGTAAAAGTCTAAAAACATGTCACCTGTTCCAGACAGGAGATCACAATTAAAACAGTGGAAACCATATTCATGCACAAATTGAATCCAAATATTTTCAACCTGTGGATAGTGTAATCCAGTGGTTCTTAACTTGTGGATCCCCAGATGTTTTGGCCTTCAACTCCCAGAAATCCTAACAGCTGGCAAACTGGCTGGGATTTCTGGGAGT